GAACTCGGAAACCCTGTATCTCAGCAACTCATGATTATGTTTTGTTTTATGTAGCAAATTATGTTTATATGATGTGTTGTTGGTCTCCCACCTCGAAAAAAATGAGGTCTGTCATGATCAAGGACGGGTTCACCAAGGAGCTTGACAGCCAAGAAGCAACCATTTCTCAAGCTGTGGACACGTTGCAGCTAAAGCTGATTCACCCAGATGATGTGAATCCTGATGACTTCAATCCCCTGATCAACAACTTGACGAATGCGGTGCAATGCTTCAACAAGTCATGCAAGACCATCAAGGCTTCGGTTGTTGCGAGGCAGCGCTTAAGCTAGTGAGGCATTTTCAATTTCGTTGAAACTGTTGGTCATTGCCAATCCCACATCCGAACCACTCCAGGCTGACCCGCCGAAGCCCAGAGCCAAGGGCAAGGCGCTTGTGAGGAAGCTGGCCTCGAAGTAGTCAGCTGAACACCTGTCATCAAGACAGTGTGGGCAAATCAGTGTGGTACTGCCTGAATCTTGCAAGCTTAAGATTGGGCGCTTTTGAGAAATTTGTTTAGCCTGAGGTCAGCCTGCTTTGCTAAAAGCATTAAACTGGCCTTGGGAATTACATTGAGCTGTGGCCTTGTCCGGCAGCATTGCAACCATCAACTCAGGGGTTCCAGAATCTGCAGCAAGGGCCCAAAACCTACAGTAACAGTTGAAGCGTCATGAGTTGCTGGCATGGTGCTGGTTCTGGCAGGGAACAGTTTCGATCTCGAATCATGAGTTCGCTCGTGTCGGCGTTGGGCCAGGGGTGAAAATAATCTGCTGCTATGTGCTATTGCTTGTAGTTGGTGAATGGTGCACCGAGCTTGCAGTTGTTAATCATCTGGCCTCCTGATCTGCTCCACGCAGGTGATCATGAAGCGTCTCCTTTGGTGCAGCACCTGGCGCAGAGTGTGGGGCGTGGAGTGTCTTGGCAGGGATCGAAGGTCAGGTGGGTGGTTGGGTGGGTGGGGTGGGTTCATAACAAATGCAATCAAATTGTTTTGGAAACGTGTGGTTTCTTTAGGCACCCATTGCTGATGTGCTCATTAATTTGCAATTAAGGAGATGAGCTTCAAACGGATGCGGTCTATCTTGCAGGCTGCTGCGAAGGACATCGGTTCAAACTTAGTTCGGTGATGCCTGCCTCTGGGCCTCTAGGAGCTCGCGATCGAAGGGCACACCTTAACTGGCCAAGCTGAGAAGTTGCGGCGGGCTGGAGCTGGGGGGAAACACGCGAACAACATCCAGAGGGACACCTTGCGAATGATGCCTGTTGAGGCTCTGCATATATTGCTGTTGGAATTAGCTTAATATTATTCAGCACTTGCAGGTTCCAATTCGGAAATGCCCGGTGCCGATGATGAAGAGTATCCGGGACAGTACTGTGGTGATCAAGCAAGTTGGTTGCAACTTGTGGTACGTGCAAAACGCAGTGCTTTCCCCAACCAAAACTGCAGCATTGCAAGTTGTGCGATTCGAAATTCCAGGCAAATGCCAGTTGTGCTACCCCATGAACTGGTGGAAGCATACCTGCGCATGGGCTTGTGGCCCGCTGGCCACGATGCCAAGGTTCAGGCGGTGCATGTGCAGTGTACGTATATGCCAAGTTGCACGTACATGCAGTATCATGCATATGCGCGATGTGCACACATATGTGCGCAATACCAGGCTTACTGGAAGCACGTTGCGGAGCACACGGCCTGGGCTCCTGACCATCCCTCACAGCGTCGAGGCTGTCATCGGCCTTTGGTGCTGTATGGTGACGATGCGGTTCTCTCGAAAAATTCGGGGGAGAAGATAACAGCGGTGACCATCTCGGACATCTTAGCATCTGATGATCAGAAAAGTAGTATGCGGTCAGCTTGGCCCCTGTGTGTGTTTCGCACCGTTTCTTGGATGGACCGAACTTAACTCGCATTTGATTCTAAGCCAGCACTTTGCATGTTTGGGGTGCTGAATCCTAGGCTTTGTCAACAGGTTTCGAGACCTTGCAAGCCTTTCTTGGCCCGGCGACTTGGTGAGTAAAAGAGTTACTAGCTGCATGGTACAAGTCTATATGAGCTAAAGCAATTTGTGTCAACATGAGGTTGTGGTGTCCCTCAACCTGATGTTCGTGGGGATGAAACCGGTGAAAGAGCTGTACTTTTACATCTTGGAATCTGATACGCCTCTTGATGGATCTTGGATGCCGCCTTTGACTGAAGAACCGCTTCTGGAGGGGGGCTGCTTGGCGGTTGTGACAGAGTTCAGAGCTGATTGGAAGTTTCAGAAGGACTGTTTCTAAATTTTGGGATTTGATGTGTCAACAGGATTAGTTCTAAATTCGGGAAAACATGCCATGATGGCAGGAAGTGTTTGACATGCAGTGTGGGTGGGCGAGCTCCGCACTATGCCATCATTGCCACGCCCAACGTTCTGACTATGTGAAGTTGCCTTCCGTGGTGGGCACTGAGTCTCGGCGCAGCCTGGATGACTTCCTGAACACTTGCCTGAAGCAACAGAGGAACCGCAGCCACTTGTCTAGCTCTAATTTGGCATGGACCTGGCATGAGTCTACGAAATTTGGTGCTGAGGTCACCTCACCAAGATTCAGGGCTTCCACCACCACATGTTGCGATGGTGCACACTTCACGTGTTGAACCTGGGGATGGTGCTCTGGATTGGTGGGTCGAGCGTTGACATGTTGATTGAAGAGGACTGTACTGAGTTGTTGGTATCAGAATGGAAATTTAAACAGACCTGGATTTATTCATATGTGCACGGCATGACCTGAAAAGGACACCTGGGAAGGTGGAAGTTTGGCTGCCCAGCTCCGAAATGCATATAGTGCATTCTGTGATTGGGCAAAGGCCCGCAAGATTCCGCGACTGGCCAACAAACTGGACATTCTACACTCAGAAAACAACCCTACCCAAAATTGGTTTGCTTAAAGCTTGACTAAGGCACTCCCAGCCGCCCTTCTGCCCGAAGTTTCTGCGGGGTGGACTCCCTGATGCAAAGGAGATGGCCGCGAAAGGATACAATGCAACCATGGCTTCACTAGCAACGCTTTAACTTTGTGGTATTCCATGCAAAAATGATCTTCAGTTCACAACGCAATGCAAAAAGGCACGAGTATTGATCCAGTGGTTGGCTGCTGTCAGCCTGAAGACTCTTGCATCGAATCCTGGAGTTCAGAAGTATCAGCTCTTGGCCCAATGCGTGCCTTCTAGCTACATAAGTACTTCCTTTTTTCAATCCCCCTTATGGCCCGAACTCAGGTTTTTCACAGCTGAGTATTTCCAAATCATGGAGCAGTCGCCGCGATACCTGAACCTGTACCAGGCAAACGCATTGGAGTTTTCTTGCGAGACTTGGCCCTAATATTGAAATGCGTAAGGTTCTCCCTAGCGGTTGATAGGGTGCAGGGCTCTTGAGCTGAGGATGCAGCCTGCTTTGCCTACTGCAAATTGGCAGAGCTAGCCGTCCAAGAGCGAGTGCCAAGGTGGCCAATTCGCCCCAAGTTCCATGACCCTTTGTCAGCACTCTAGCTGGTACCATGACCCAAGGCCAGTTTGATTTGCTACAGCTAAGGGCTGGCAAGAGGTAACGCATCTGGCCCGAACAGAGCGTGTCTTGGCGAAGGCGTGCGTGGATATTGATCATCCGGCGCGCGTGTTTTGATTTTTCATTTTCAAGTTTTGCCCAGGCATAAATCCTCGCCATCAACACACATTTCGAGATGAAGATCTCAATGGGCACTTGCTATGTTGCGAAGCTGCACTAGACTCTGCACAAGGTATGTCCAGCAAAAAGCATGCTTTGCGTGCCGCGTTTCAGCATCATGAAATTGAGGCATCGCACGCAGCAGTCACCTGGCCACCCTTGAGCTGTCCACTTTGACCCGCTTCTACATGTGGAGCCCAGCCTGATTTCTATTTTAGATTTGGGGCCCGGGTGCTCATTCTTGGATGTGGTGCTAAGGACTCAAAACATGGTCGACGACAATGATCGCATGCTCTAAGCCCTGACAAGCAGGTGCACCTGGGGCCCCGCGCTTGATTCCAAGCGCTGGGATGAAGTGGGCCAAAAAGCTGCGGCCCAGATGCTCTCAGGAAGGTCTTGGGGGCCCTTTGTGTTCTAAGAAAGGACTTGGAGGCCAAGTGATTGCATAGGCACTACTTTGGATCCTTTGGGTTGGGTTTCAACCACTAAACCAGAATAAGCAAAAATATAAAATGTGTCCCAACAACAACCATGCAGGGAGGAAAAGAGACAGGGAAGGAAGGGGCGGAAGAAAATAGATGGCACTGGCAATGATTAGAGTTCTGGAGCCAGCAAAAAAACCATTTCACCTGACCCAAAAGTCGTCCACCTATGAATTCAACTGCTCCAATCGACCCTCTGCAAAAAAATGAAACCCACGTTACGGTGCCGGGAAACCAAAGGAGGTGCCTAGGATCGTTTGGGTTGGGTGTTCCTTCTGTGCAAACTCGGTGAGTCACAATCACAACCTGGTACTATAACAGGGTGCAAACATATATATATATATATATATTTGTTTTAATGTTTGTTTCCTCCTTTTTAAGTGCGAATATCTGCGCCGTTTTGTGGTTCGGACTGTCTCTCACTATCCTTAATCTACCCGGGTGTTGCTTGAGGCTCAAGTGAGTGCCCAAACCCATCGACTTTTGTTCTACCATGGTGGGTATAAAGGCTTTCTGGACCTGCCTGTAACACCACCATAAGACCAAGTAACAGAATCCACTGCAAGGCAAATGGGGGTTTGAACGGCTCCTGATTCCCCTTAAACAATGGCTTCAAACATCGCCTTCTGCCAATTTGATTTGCGTCTCAAAATGAGGGCCGCCCCCGCCAAAGTGGCCGGTTTCCTCGTGGTTTCCCTCTGAACCCCCCAAACAGGTGGGTTTGCCAAAAGACCGGCCCATTTCTGAGTTTATGGGGGAAAAAGGGGGGACAACGCGGAAGCCGTGCCTTCTCCCAGTTTTGAGGGCCACTCAACAGCTGGCCCAGCGCGTCGTCCTGCGCCGAGGCACGAAGCCTTCAGGTCGTTTGGTTGACATATGTGAGCTTGTAACTTGAGAAACCATGACATAAACCATATGGGTGACCAAGAGTAAACCAACAAATAAATTCTATGTTCTTCAACTCAGGGGATCATGAGTGGCTGGGTTCAATTGATTGTCCATGTCAAAAGGTGCCACTAGTTTTGACACATCCCCCCGTCATGTGTGTGCGTGTCATGGTTGAAACACCTTTGCTTGGTGGTAGGGACAAAAACAGTCTCTGCGCCTGGCTTCGAGGGAATGGGAGGGACATCCCTTCGTTTGGGTAGCGGGGGGAGTTCTGAAGCTTTGGGATAGAGCTCATTGGGATAGCAGTCTAGCCACTCTCATGTTCCATTGGAGGAATAAGAAGGGATCTTCCGGTGGGCAGCTCAAAGGCTCACTTTCCCTTAGTTGAATCCCACCTCCTTCTTGAATTCGAGGGTCCCCCATTTTGGTGTGTGTGTGTGTGCCTTTGTTTTTCTCCTGGAAACTCGTTTTGACCCCCCGCCCCCAGTTTCGGGGGGGGGGGGTCCCAAGGGAAGGAGAGACTCAGTCACTGGTTGCCGCGAGTCGTCCTCGGCATCGCCGTCTTCCGGCCCCGGCCTTGAGTGAAGCCCGGCCGAAGCGGAGAGTCTCTTGGTTTGACCACCAGGACTGGGTGTGATCAACACATTCCTTGGTTGACGTTGGAAGGGGAGCAAAAATTGAAAAAGCTTAACAGCTAAGTGGGGATTTCAACCACTAAACCACAATAAGCAAAGATGTAACATGCTTAACAACAACCATGATTTACCCGAGCAAATGGAAACGCAGTCCCCAGGCTCTTAAACTTTTGAGCCACACAGCCACACCACTAAGATGTTCAGAGTCTGATTCATATCAAGGGCCTTATTCTGAATGGGTCCCGGACCCGAACTGGTGGACATCACGGTGGTTTTTATGTCCACCAACCACTTTTGAGGGGGTCCAACTCTGAACTATCATAGCCATTTTAGTGTACCCCGAACCACAAAGTAGCTCCTCACCAAACAACGCATTCAGGCCAAACATAGGGTGGGTTCCACTACGGGATCATACATTCAGGCTTCGAATCCGACACCGGCACATGGGTCCCAAGATGTGCCCAACACACATGTCCTATCGGAGCCAAATTGAAATCAGCCAACATGCTTCACCAGTTGGCCAGGTCCTCCAGTAGAGAGGTACAATATGAATACCCGATATATATATATATATATATGTTTTTTTCTGGACGTCTATTTTAGTAGGGGAACCCCCCTAAAAAGGGTAGAAGGGCACTACTGGGGGACCTAGTTTGGTTCCAGCTATGGTCATTCCCAAACGTGCCGGGTTCCCATATGCCCAATGCACGCAAACCAGTGGTTCTTGCTTTACCAGCTTGGTTTCGACTATGTGCATTCCCCACACTTGCCTTGTCCTTCTAGGAACATGCACTGGTTCCTTGAAAGATGACTCGAGCCGAGCTAAACTTGGAGGAATCCGTTTGTGTTCTTTCCAAGCTGACATCCCAGTGTGGTTGCGACTATGTTGGCTCACTTGCCCCTGTCCTTGGAAAGTGGAACCGGAAAGGACGTGAAAGCCCGAGAAACCAAGAGCGAAGTGGAACCAGAGAGCCATGCGGCTGAAAAGGACATGGACCCGAGCCTCACGGGCGGCCTGTGAGAGAGCCGCTCCTGAGATGAAGTCGGGGCTCACACCTTCCCATTGAAACATCATCCCAAAAGAACACACCCATTGGACCCATTCTACGGTCTCAACACCAACAAAATCATGTTGCTTGTTTCTTCTTCTCCGCAAAAGGAGAAGCTAAGGACCTCTGGGGGTCCCAATGGAGACTTTTGTCCGAATTGTCAGAATGGGAGATCAGAACTTTCATGCGATTTCAACGTCAGCTATAGGTCTGTATGGAAGCAACCTTCACGAGATAAATCAGTAACACACCAACTTTGTGCGCTTGATTGCTTTAACATATGCAACCAGATAGGTTTACCGCAATTGCCAGATTTGGCAACGTTTAGGATCACTTTGAAGACCTGGGCATATGACTCAGAAACTGGAAATAAGGAATCGAGTCAGGAGCCTTTCTTATGAGCTCGTTTTATCCCCCAACCAATTTGCCCTGAAAGATACTGGCTAAGCCTTCATTCGAAGAGCAACCACTGCGGTCGATGGAGACAACCCATTGCGCGCCAGGGATGGCTTATCAACCATCGTGTGAAACACCCATTTCAACTGGTGCCTAAGAAGTTTGCACCCACGGTAACACAGTTGAACCTCTGAAGGACTCATGCAACCAGGGGCATCTACCCAAGGCCAGGTTAAGCTGCAACAACACCCTCAGTTGGGTGACGTTGACTGGGTTCTAACAAATGAGTTCCTTTCGGATGCTATGCTACTACGCACATGCTTGCCCCTGAAATCGGTTGGACAACACCTCATAGTCACGCCACGGACACGAGTCCATTTTGACCCCAAATACATCCAACACCCCAAAGTCGCAAAGGTTGCAAAACTAGGTCCTCAAGTAGAGAGGTTAGAATAAGGGTACCAACTTTTTTTTCTGAAGTCTATTTTAGCAGGGGAACCCTCAAAAAAGGGGAGAGAAGGGCACTACTGGGGACCTAAAAAATAGTGTCCATACAACATAAGGCCCCTCCTGCAGGTTGTGGTCATCGCCTAGCGGAAAGGCCAAAGCAGTCGGGGGATGTCGAGGTTGTTGGCTTGGGCCCGAAGGTGCTTTGCAGAATCAGTTTTCCGCCAAAAGGTGGTCTTTCGCACGGTGGTTGGGAGATGCTTCCGCCTAACTCAAGATTCATGCATTGACGGGGCATCAAAAAGCGTAGTGGTGCGGACTTGCGGCCAAGAGCGCGGGCGTGCGGACGGGTGTACGGGCTGTACGTGCGGCTGCCAGTTTCAGCCTGCGCAGTTTCGTGTTCAAGTGTGCGAGCGGGTGAGCGGTCACGCGCACAGACGTGCATTCAGGTGCGTCGCTCGCGCAAAAAAAACTCAGCAGATTTTGAAGAAAGCACAGAAGCAAGACTGATTCCAATGAAGGGTCTTGTCATTTTATTTGAGCCTGAAGCAGGAACCTGGGAACAAACAATGTTGGGAACAAGCCCACACACACCTACCCAGCAAATAGAGAGGAAACAGGCGGCCGACGATTTGGTCACACTGTGCTTGTGTCAACCAGGCCAACCGAGGCCCTCCACTCCCATACAAGGGCATCAGCTTTTGCCTGCCTAAGCCAAAGATCTGGTTCAACTTTGTTCCCTTGTGTTGTGTGGCATTTCCAACAAATTGAAGCTCACAGTGACCATCACGTCAGCATCCAAAAAGGGCTAAGCGCCCCTCAGACCAATTTCAAGACATCGCCCTTCTTCATAATTAGAGACTGGCACCTGCAAATAGTACAAGGGTTTGCCTCAGCCGTTGGACATGCTGTCCGCAGATTTTGGAAACACACACACAGCAGATAGCAAAAAACACACCAACAGGCGGCGCACACTTTTTCCGCACGGTGTGCGTACACGCGCCGTGCGCGCACTGTTCCCCGCATGGTCTGCGCTCTGTACGCGCATTGTAAGTGCACTTTATACGCTTGCACTATACGCGCACATCGTGCATGACCCTGGCTCTAGCGTACAGGGGCTTACCCACTCATCATGGAGACGCAAAGGCGTGACTGGTTCAGATCCCCGCCAATCCAACCCCCGAACGAAGGGTTACCTGAACACAAGGGCCCGTTCCCATTCTCTTTACAGTTTTGGCCCAAAGAAAACAAAGAGATGTTGGGTCTCCCAGACAAATTCGAGCTACTCTGTTTGTTGGCCCGTAAAAAGAACGCAGTGGGCCATGTCGAGCTCTCAATGTTCCCAAAAGAACGGCACCGGCGGGATCAGTTTGTGTCGACACCAAGTTGGATCCAAGTGGATGTCAAGATGAACCATTGTTTGTTCGTGGTCGGTTCCCCCGTGAACCCCTGAGTGTTGTCTACAAGGCAATACACGAACACGACGTTGGGCCTTTCTGATGGGTTTCTATAGGGTTTTCCACGGATTTACTAGTCTGGAAACACGGTCCGTGAAAACTCTCATAAAGACATAAGTCATGGTTTGCCAGTCGCAAATTGAAAGCCAGGCATTTGCTGAAAGAAACAAAACAGGCGTTTGGGTTTCGCCAAGTTGATCCGCTCACGATACAAGAGCTTGGTCGACCCGCAAAGATCTTGGCCTATCTCTTTCAATGGGGTCCCAAGCAGTCCCAGGCAGGCATGCCTGGAACCACTGGCGCAGCCGGCAACGCCAGACCCATCCTCGAAAAGTTGGGGGCCAGTTGGGCAAGAAACACTGACCTGCTCCTGTTTCGCCCCAATCCCTGGACAAACAAAGAAGAGCTCCTCAGAACGGCGGACCCGCTGGTGGGGGGTCCAAAATGGTGGGTTTTCCTGTTGGTGACATACAAGTACCAACTGAACAAGAGACACACCTAATTAGGTTCCTGGGAACATGAGTCACATCGTGCCGTTGCGCGGGACCCAGGCTTGAGCTCTCTTCGATGGTTTGCTTTCCCCGGCGGTCGTACGTGGGTTGAACTCCTGCACTAGTTGATGGGTGATTTGTGCCATTCATATGGGTGTCTTTTTTGCTCCCCCCCCAAACAAAAAAAAATGTGGTTTTCCCTCCTCCTTTTAAAACCATCCAAGCAGGGGTACTTTCAAAAATATGGCCGCATCCCTGGTGCGAAGTGGATTTTGTCTATCCCTATACAGAACAAGACGGGCCCTGCGGATCGGGCCCGAGAAGAAAGTCCATGGGCTGGGGTGCCCCTGGCTCCCCCGGAATAAGTTTGGACAAATTGGAGGGAGCGGGCATTCCCTTGGCGCCATTTCCCATATCAAACTTAGTCAAGTGCATTTAGGGGGAATCCTCCCGTATCCCTGGTTCCCCCTGTATCCCTGCTAGTTGGTTTCCCGGATAAACAGGGATTCTTTCATTATACACCTGAACATTGCCTTATAAATGGTGGTTTCCCTGCATTTTGGTGGAAAAAGATGTTTCAAATGGGCAAAATTTATCTTTTAAGGAGCACTGATAAATCGGGTATCCACAGCTGCCTTTTGGATTTCGGGGTCGGGTCCAAGGCATCGCCATGCGGCAAAACAACTCTCCTCTGTTCCGCGAGCAGCGCCATAGTCACGCCACCATCTCCGTGACGCACTTCTGGCACAGAAAAGGGCACGGAGATGCGAAAACAAGCGCCCATTCATTTCCAGCCTGCCAACACACCAAAATATTGGGCTGCCCCATAAAACCACTAACAGTGAATCACGATATGCTCAACACCAGCCACAAGATGGTCTTCCGACTCTTGGAGGAAATTCTTATAGTCGGTAGAAAATGCAAATCAACACCAATCTCAGCTTTTGCCCGCAACCACTCCAGCATGCGTGAGATCACTGGCCAATGGACAAATGAGTATCTCGCGCGAGCACTTGCCGCATCAGTCGGGCCGTGCAAACTAATCTGCTGCATGGCAAATTACAACATGGTTTCTGGTCCACATCAGGAAGCAAGCGCGGAACGGACTGCTTCATGAAACTTGGATTCAATTGCAACTGGTCTTGGGTGTGAAGCAACACATTGACTCCAGCTTCTCTCGTTTGAGAACTCAGCAGCGTGCAACCAACAACTTTAAGGGGCACTGTTTTCCAACCATTTGGTTAAGGCCCCAGGCAAAAATGAAAATATTTCCAGTAGTGATGAATTCCCAAAAAACCCAACAAGGGAAAAATATACATATATTCAATTAAGCAAATGGAGGTTTCTGGGTGCCCCATTCTTTGGCCTTCTCCTTCTTAAAAGTGCTCACACCCAGCCTGGGTCCGCTTCGTCGGCCGGCCTCAAGCGGCTTGAATCCATCTTTCGCCCAACCCTCGGAAGTCCCAGGGCGGCCGTTTCCGGATTGAAAACCACCAAACAAAGGAAACCAAGGAGACTAAACAAAGGAAAATCACCATCACCTGGAAACCAAGGAAACTCACCACACAAATTGGCTGCAGGTAATGAAAACGTAAAACCACCATTTTGCGGAACCCTGGCTGATATCCAGTCCTGCGGCCAGCAAGCTCAAAACACGACGAAGAAGGGGTACCCCTAAAAAGACGGACCCAATGAGACCCTAGTATGGAACCATGTATTTCAAGGTCGTCCACCCTATGCCATCCAACCACCTAGGCCTTCAACCACCTTTGGTATGGCACGAATCGACGACAACTCTTGTCCCAACAGCTGACCACCTTATCGTCGCACATTCTTGAGAATATGTCGATGGTCGAAAAGGGTGTCCACTACACCCCCAGACCACCCCTAAGAAAGAAAGTGGTGTCAATGTACCAATACCGCCACTACCGCTTCCAATGCCCAATATCTATGTCAGAATGTCAAAATAATATCGACTATCGACAATATCAATGCCAACCCCATTCAGCATGACGCTATCGAAGTGGATCAGGCTCGAAATCAAATCCGCATCAGAGTAAGCCAAGCCGCTTCCACGACTCGGATTTCGGATCGCGCTGAAGGGTATTGCAACCAGTCTTGTCGTTGCCAGAAGGATCCACTATCAGGACCTTGATCGCCTCGAACATGTTGGCAAGGAAGGCATCGATCTGGGCTAAAAGCCAGAAAAGGGCCACCAAACGCATTTGAGTGGCCCTTTTTCAGTCGCGACCCCCATGCCCTTCACCCCCTCGCCCACATTCTCATAACACTCTGGGACACGGCAGCTGGTCACAGCAGCATCTACCACAGTGCGGACAGCGGCGTGCTGGAACTCAGGGTCCAACGCAGCGATAAAGCCTGCGTTTTGGCTTTCGCTGACTGCAGCTTGCGCTCGCTCCTTCTCGAGTTTGATTTTATGGAGCCCTGCGTGGATGCCATTTATGCAGAAGCTAGTGCTTCCTGGTGGGACCCGGCAGTGGTTTGGGGGTAGTGGACACCTAGAAATTCGCCTCGCCGCTCCTCCAAGCTCCGGAAGTTCACTCAAAACATGCCCAAACGATGCGGGTTGCTTGAAACACCGGCTGGAGTGGTATGTTGGTTACCAACCCCGGTCCCAAAACCGGCTCACCACCACTCATTGCACATCCCCACGAAACGTGGTAAGAGATCATCCAGTTCCACCCATTGAATAGTCTAAGAGACTGAGAGAGGAACGGGAATTGCTGGGAATGGAATTCCAAGGGTTGGGTTCCCTCTGATCGAGGCATTTGCAGAAATCAGGCATTGCCGTGATGCGAAGGCCTTCTTCAAAGGGCAAAGGGAGTCATGGGAAGATCACCCTTGCTCTTCAATGGCCCTTGCTATGACTCAGCATTATAATATATATATATATATTTATACGTATATATATATCTATATATATGTATGTACGCTGTACCACCAATCAACGTGGAACCTGACAAGGGGGTCCTTGTAATAGGAAAATGGTCTTCCAGAACCCATTGTCAGGTTTCATGTTTATTGGTGGGAGGGAAAAACACAAATAATATACATCTGTAACTCTGCGGGTTTTGGGCCAAAGAGAAGGGGGCCAAAGAAACTGGAACGGGCATCCGCGCATCCGCCCAGCTTCTTTGTGCTAGACACGGCTGCCCCCCCCCCAAACAAAAAGACACGCTCACGGGTCCAAGCCCCCGGCACGAGCCGGGACCCGGCCTGGACATGATGCCGGTATTGCAGGTGTTTCAATTTGGGTACCCTCCCACCAACTAACATAGTGCAAAACGGCCAACTCACCAAGAGGAAAGTAGTCTTTCTACCAAAATCTGTGCACTTCCATGTTAGCTGGTGCCAGGGTACATGTTTTGACCAAAGGACATTCTCAAAGCCATGACGTTCAACGCTCCCATGGAGACTGCATAGTTTCTTGGTGAAGTGTTGCCAAACCCACAAAACGCGAGAGATCGGTGGTTTGTCAGCTAGTGTTTTTTAACCAAGTTTCACCCATCTCGAGGTTTCGGCCAGAGGCCTTTCATGGGGTTGCTGTTGAGGGAAACCAGAAACCAGGGCACCGTTGCCAGCGGCGCGTGGCGAGGCAAAGTGGCAAGGCCTTTGACACAGGTTCCCATTTTCTTGTTGCCCTAGATAGACTTGACCCCAGTGGTTGACTTCCCGAAAAGGAGTACCCGAGGGCTTGCTCAACCTCCCCTTGCCCGCTTTGTCCATGCATCCAGGGGTTTGAATACGGAATGTCAGAGAGACCGAGAGAGAACAAGAAACAAAGAAAGAGAGAAAAAAACGACCAGGAGAGAAAAGAGAGAGAGAGAGAGAGAGAGAGAGACAGAGAGAGAGAGAGCGAGAGAGAGAGGGATCCTCGCTCACAAATTCAAGCCGCTCGTGGCATTGTTTTGGGCCCCTGACCGTGTGTGCAATGCCGACCACGTGCGTCGCGCTCGGGGCTGGCCTCAGGCGAACTGAGACTCGTTGCTGCCACTTAGACGCACCGGCCGGTCGGTCTACCTTGATCGTTTTCAAGAGGCTTGCAAATTCCAACACATCACATTCCCAGCACAGTAACACAAAATGAGACACATTAAATAATTTACTGCTACTAAGTGGAAGCGAACATCCGAATAGGGGTCCCAAGCAGGACCCTGATTCCAGGCTGGCAACTCTTGCCAGAGTGGATGGCCAAGGTGCTCGTATGTGCACTCTTTCTGCTGGATTGTCTAACCACTCATCGCAAACAGAACACCATTTCAAAAAGGGCCCCCTTCATAACAATGTATTGGAAGGATTGTCGGACAAAAGCTCCGTGTCCGGAGTTGGCCGAGGGTGAGCCAAAGCTCCGCCCCTTCGTCGTCTGCAGCCGCGAATTCTCTGTCGCACACCGCTAAGCTGAACAGGGGGACGAAGAGTGAACGATTGTTGAAGTCTTCAAGAGCCTGCAAAGGGAAAGACGTATATGAATGTGTAAGGGGTGATGCCGCATGACATCGCTAACTTCCAACTCCTGGCAAATAAGCAAACACACTGTGTAAAAGCCACTGAAATGAACAGAGTCTAGGACCCACAGCCAAAGCGCCCACAACACAATTGATGCCTATAATCCCTGCAAAGTAGCTCTGGGTGTGCGCTGGACGGATACATAGCCAGTATACGTACACATATAGGGTTTAAAGGGAGAATCCAAAAGCCAACATACATTTAAACAAAGTTAACATGAAGTGCTTGCCACTCCAGGTATCGCTCGATGATTTGTCTAGATGCGCACTCTTGCCTCTGCCGAAGGACAGTGGTGGTTACGGTCTCGAGATACCAGGATTGCGAAAGCAATGCAACCCGCGATCTTGGCGTTGAGCCACAGCCCTTTGCTGAGCCACGAGCACGTCTGACTTCGGTGGAACCTCGCTCGCTTGGTTTCCCATTCTGAGAACTCGCGCTAGGGGCCCCATCTGAGCCATGGTCAAAGTGTATGGCTTAAGCTTAAGTGTCCAATAACCAAACTTCTGTGGTTGGGATTGAGTGGGTTCCCCATGTTGCGCCCAGATCAACAAACCAGAGGTCCTCTTCAGCCCTCCCTGTTGAGACACTCGCACAGACACCCGATTTCCGAAATGTTCATTTTACCAGGCAGTGCCATGGTTTGTGGTTACGTTGCAATGTTTGGGCCTTGAACTTTAGGGCCATGTTTAAAAAACATGACCGTTGACCCAGGATGCTCAGACCACTTTTGGAGGGAACACCCCGCAAAACTCTTGGACGCTGACGAACCCACAGTTAACATTGGGGTGATTGGGGCAAGGAACTCGCAGGCATGCAAGGAATAGGGTAAAGGATGCAACAAGGCAGGGTATCCCTGTCTGCTTCGTAAAAAGTCACACACACACAAGCACCCTCACACCACACACACACACACGCATCAACAAACATAAGCACGTGGAAACACAAACTAATACACACACACACACACACACGCAAAGAGAAACAGAAACACAAGCACCACACACACACACACACACACGCACGTACGCACGCGCGCACGCACGCACGGACGGATGCGCGCACGCACGCACGCACGCACGCCGCACGGATGCACGGATGCACGGATGCACGGACACACACACGCACACACACACACACACCCACAAACCCACCCACGCACGCACGCACGAGCACGCACGAGCACGCACGAGCACGCACGAGCACGCACGAGCACGCACGAGCACGCACGAGCACGCACGCACGCACACACACAGACACACCGACACACAAACACATTGACATGCAAACACCCACGCACACTCATGCGTGCACACACACACACATGCAGACGCAAACGCAGACGCAGACGCAACACAAAACAAACACACACACACAAACATAAACACAAACACAAGAGCGCGGAAACACATACAAACACACGCACACACACAAAGAAACCACCAACCAAACTCACACACACAGACACTCAAAAAAGAACAAAAACACAAACACAAGCACAAACCACACACACAAACACGCACACGCACACGCACACGCACACGCACACACACACACACACACACACACACACACACACACACACACACACACACACACACACACACACACACACACACACACACACACACACACGCACACGCACACGCACACGCACACGCACACGCACACGCACACGCACACGCACACGCACACGCACACGCACACGCACACGCACACGCACACGCACACGCACACGCACACGCACACGCACACGCACACGCACACGCACACGCACACGCACACGCACACGCACACGCACACACACCCACACCCACACACACACACACACACCGACACACACACACACAGCCGCAAACACACACACACACAAAAAAAAAACACCTGAAAAACAAAGCGCGAACAAATACACACGCAGACACAAAAACAGACACAGACACGAACACATCACACACACACACAGCGGAACACACACACACACAACACACACACACACACGCACGCACACACACACACAGCAACACACGCACAAGCGGAAACACACATACACAAGCTACGTACGTACCTGGGGCCTTGAACGACTGTTTCAAAGCAGGTGCGGGCCGAACAACCACTTCTGAGGCAAACGACCGGAACCGGTTCGAAATCCCTAACCTACGGGGCCTTGACTTTGCCAGGCCTGTCTACTTTTCATTTTTCCCAGTTGGCTAAACCAGAAATGGCTGTGAGCATTCATGTGCACAATCTAGAGTCGAGAAGCCACTGCTAAGTACAGTTATGACACTTCAGATCAGAGCATAATGAGTGTAGCTGCATGCATGTGTTCTTCACAGCCTTTGCCCAGTGCGCCTGGCTTGTTTCACAGACCTCTCCCTTTTCCCATATGGAATCAAGCAGCAAACCAAGAAACGACGCAGAGGCAAAATTCTGTCCACTCATGGTGTTAGCCTTGGTTTAGAACCTTCCTCATCATAAGAAAGGGCACCCTAACAAAAGGCTTGCTTTTGGGTGGCCGGACTCCTCGTTTTTTTTTTTTGGGGGGGGGGGGACATTGGACTTTCGCAGGGCGGTTTTTCGGCTCGTTTTCGGCCCGTGTTCTTCCGTTTTCGGCTCGTTTTCGGCCCGAAAACCCGTTTTCGGGCCGAAACTGGCAATGGACAAAACCAGTAAACATCCAGAACCAGGCGTGCAACAACCAGAACCGTGTGTGCAACAACCAGAACCGTCCGTGCAAACGACTGTTTCTGAATTGATGGGTCTTCGGTTGCTTTTGGATGGGGCCATTGGGGCGACCACTCCTTTTTACCAGCAGAAGCCTCCTTTGCAAAGATTGGAAAGGGTTGTTTGGGAAACCACCTGAAAGACACCCATTGGGTGCCTGAGGGAAGAGTGATTTGACACACTGCCAAAGCCGCTCAACTATATTCTCGCCAGGGCTTTGGGGTGAAAAGCAATGTCCGTCGACCCCACATGCTGCTGATGCTGGCGGTACACCTATCTGGCTCTGCCCGCGGAACCGAAGGGTATTGAAAGTGTGCAACTCGCACAGCCCCCTTCTCCATGCCTTTCCCTTTTGCAAGAAGCTAGAAGAGAAAACAAAGGGATCAGTGCACTTCAGACTGCTGCGGCACGCTTGAGGCCTGACGGGTTGGCCGGGCAGGGTTGGTGCCAGTCTTGCAGAGGCGCAAGTCAATCGAGGCTGAAAAAGATATGCCCTACACAAAATACAGAAAATGGTGATCAGGCCAAACGGCCGGAACTGCAGCAAACGACCGGAACTGATGATGGATGTTCTTACGACTGTTTAAAAACGGATGTTTCGGGCTCCAGGTATATATCTATATACATAAACACATATGTACATACAAATACACACAAACATACAAACAGCACGATAAGTCCTGCCCCTTATGTCTGCCAACTGGTTCTTTTGCTTTCTGGTATTGACCTGATAAAGCGCAGCAAGTCTTGAGTCAGTCGCCCGGTTTGCTTTGGATGGGTGGTTTAGAGGTTAGGGCTGGTTTCCCATTTGCCCTCTACAGAAGCCGGGGATTCAATCCCCAAACCAATCCAAACCGCCAACTATAGGTCACCGAACTTCTGCTGCATGGGAAACAACCATTTTTTCCGAAAAGAAACGTGGGTGTGTCCCTTTTTGGGACCCCCCGAAATGGTGGCTTTAGTCTTGGTTTCCCTTGAACACCATCAAAAAGGGGAACCCTGAAAAAAGACACACACCTACGTACAGTAATGTCTAGGCTGGTTCTTTGCCAAAAGAAGGGGTCGGACCCCTTTCTGCGCGCCCTTTCTGCTCGATGTCCAACGAAAACCAGCAATATGATTGGTATGTGTCCCATTAGGAATCGAGCCCTGAAAATTGCAGGGTTTCCTTTCAGGTTTCCCTTGAACAATCAACCCACAGATTACCAAAATATACCCTCCCACCAACTAAGAACCTGACAGGGAGGTCCTGGAAGACCATTTCCCTTTTAAAGTGACCCCTTGTCAGGTTTGGTGGGAGGGTACCAGCCCCAAGGGTGCCGCTCAGTACTTGGCAGGTGCAAAGCAAGAACTAGCAAGTCTTGCCGCCGCGGGATTCCAGTCGAGGCTGAATCTGAGCAATTTGTCGTCTTTACGTGTCTTTCAGGAGACATGTCAGGAACTCTAATAACGATAAACCCATTCCAGACTTGTTTCACCCCCAGTTTTGTACTGATTTGCCCAGAAAGGCTGCCAAAGTTCACTGCTTTGGCTGAACGCTTGGCCCCTGGGAGTCGAGCCCACTGCTTGGGCTCTTTTGACCTCGGCCGAGGCGCCGTGGCGGAAATCCGAGATCTCCAGTTCCAACAAAGGCGTCGAAATCGCCACGACCCGCCCCAGTTCGGGAACCAATGCGAATTGGCTGACACAATTTGTGGGCCTCGTGTGCGGAGCACTGCGGAGCACTGCGGAGCACTGGTTCCCCAAGGATGCGATTTGAAGAGACAGCCGGCTTCAAAAAGCTCAGCCCTCCCTGCAACGAACATGGCAACTGACAGGGGCTCCCTTCAAAAGGAAATGAATCTTCCAGGTACAGCTGCCACGTTAGTTGGAGGAAGGGGTCACATCTTTGAGTCCCCACTAAAAACAAAATGACTGGAGAGACATCTGGAAGCTCTCAAAATCTTTGAGCTCCTTGAAACCCTTGCTGACTCTTCGACTGCAAAAGGGCAAGCCCCTTGGCCCCCGCGCGGATTTCCAAAGGCTGGGAAGGTACCAAAGTACTCGTCCATGGGATACAACTCCCGCATGGGGTCCGGCCCCACCTGAAGTTTACCAGTGCGTCAGGCGTTTCCAGGGTCTTCCCCTAGCTTTGACATGATGGTTTCCTCTGGTTGGTACCTGGAAGGACTGGGTACTAAGGTGTAGGTACCTCAAATGGTTTCCCCTTTTCCATGGGTGCCCTCTCAGTTTGCAGTTGAGACCTGTACCATTGGCTGGAAACAAATGGAACGCAGAATGGTTTCCCCCTTCAAGAACATGCTTAATGTACCGATGTATCCCGACTTCCAACATCGCACCGCTGGGCTGGGCTTTTACGGAAACTCGTCTTTCCAACACCCCTCACTGGTGTCAGAAGCCTAGCGAAGCTCCGTGGAAAAGAAATTGGCGACGAGCGCCAGTGGTTTTTAACTGTCAAGCTTGGCCATGCGCTTGACCTCTTTCGCAAATGTTATTCGGCAGAAAACGATAGGATGCATTGCTTTGTCGTGCGATCGGTAAGGGTACTATCAGGGCTTAAAGACCTGCTCAGGCGTGTTGCTCACTGATGCCTGGCGCTTAGTGGAGCAAAGGGGCACATCAAGTAAAAGGACAAACTTGTGATGTGAGGTTGGGCCGGCAAAGTGAAGGCAGCAAAAGCAATTGCTTGTTGAAACCAGCTGATCCCCAACACACAGCTTTCTCTTTGGACAAACTGGGCTTGCCTGCAACCATACGAATTCAACCAGTTCGACGGAAAACCCGGATATCCCGGAAAGCTCCCGCTTCCAGCCTTTCATTTGTTAGAAGTTCCCACAACGTTAATCTTCAGCCTATAGGTTAACTCCACTTTTGGGACCTAGAAAGTATATGATTATAACTGGGCTATACACTAGGATATTCACTGACCGGTGACAAGTGCGCCATGGCGCAGGCCCCCACCGATTCCAGATGAATGAGGTCTCCCTGGGACGATCCAACTTTTCAAGGGTCCAAAAGGAGACTCCACACATTTCTCGTTTTCCTGCTAACCTGGGGTCGCGAAGTTGTTTCTCCGAATAACTTTCAACTACTAAAGTGGCACTTTTGTCGAAGACGTAAATTTATTGACCGACAAGCTCCGGGCGTTTCAATGATATGGACGGCATGGCAAGCAAGAGCTTGGAGGGAAGCACGGAAAACGCTTGCCTCGTAGCACAAGGAAGGCCAGGACAGGCCCTCTTTGGCCTTCTCTTTGCGTCGCTTCTCCTGGCGGTGGGAGTGGGCCAATTGATTTCAGGGTGTGCTTTTTAGGGTGCTCCCCTTTGGATTTGGTTTGAAGGGGAGAAACCAACAGAAAACAACCGCACATTTTGGGGGGTTTGCATACCCATTTCCGAACTGACAAGTTTCCTCTGCACAGATACTGCGGACAAAATCCTGCAGATGATTTGCTTCATCCATCCCAATCGGTGCATGGGGTTGGGAGTAGGCAGGTTGGGACTTCTGGATTCCAGCATCACAAAGTCGGTCGGGGCACGGCAAAGGGGGGTTTGGGGTCCTTAGCTTTCGGCGTCAACCACCCTTTGTGGCTGTTTTTTGAAAGGCCCCAAATACTCCCGGCCCAGCAAAAAAGGGGTCAGACTTGGCGTGGAACGCTTACAAATCGCTTTCGGACCGGTTTCAATGTGGGTTGAGGCTGGCACCGGAAAAGAGGGATCCTAAGGAGGCAGTGTCAGCTTTCGATTGGGTGAACCTACCGCAAATATTTGTCCTTCCCCCAATAGTACTCTTTGTCAGACCCAAATCTCCCAAATACTTATCCAGGCAATACTAAACTACCCAATCTAAACTTCCAGATTTACCGCCGACTCCAATTTCGTTGTAGGGGGCTTTCCGACGGCTCTCCAAAACAACTTAAATTCAAAGTGTATATTCAAACTTGAAATCGCATGCTAATTGTGCCTTTGGAATTTGAGTAGATAAATCTAAACAAATGCCTTCGCCGATTCCATCTAAATTCCTTACTCGGCAATTCGAACGATCTCTGTGTCCGGCGACCCCAGACAAGGACCAAGGCCCCTAACATGTTACTAAGTATTGGGGTGATTTATGATTGGGGGGAACGGATTATGCGGTCTCCAACAGGGCCCCGGGACAACAAGGATTATTTTGGGGTCATATGATGCAAGGCCGAAAGCGGTTGTTCGAACCGAATCAGGGTCTCCTGATTAAAAGAAGGAAACTCGCAAGAAGGAGCGAGCGAAGCACGAGTGCTTGCATTGCCTCACCCAGTGATGTCAGATACCACAGTGTAGGCAACTCAAAAACCACCACTTGCAAAAGTCGCAAAATCAAAGGAATTGGTCACCTCCTATTGTGTCGAAACGCCTGGTATCCAATGAGGGTGCAAACAAAACGTGGCCCTGGTTGCGAGAAACTCAACATTTCTTTTGTGATAGAAAAGTGAGACTTCCGTCATGACTACCTTGTCGTGGGGATGGGATTCCTTGGACAGACAAATCTAGCTCTACCTTTCCCATCGCAGGGATCCTTCTCTTTTAATGGGCCGACCTGGGAAAATGGTTGGCTTCAGAGAATGATGGGCGAAGGGAATGAGGAATCAACCGCTCAAAATATGCTTCCCAACCCAAAATGGTGCTTGAAGTACAGGTGTCTGTGTGCGCGCGCTTTTTGGAGGCCCTTCTCAGCTTGAACCGAAAAATCTGTGCGCTTCGCGCGCCCTTCCTTCGCGCGAGTCCCGTGTCCTTCTCCCTGGCGATGAGAAGCATGCGACTGAACTCGGTGGGCATCGAGGACAGCGTCTTGTAGTCTCCCTGGCGACTCGAGCACCCAAGGGACCCCCTATTTTGAGAAACGCTCATGGGTGCGTGTGTGTGTGTGTGTGTCAAACTTAGGGGAACGCCTAAAATGGTGCTGTTCCCTTATAGTTTTCGTTTTACACCACCCCAGCCACGTTATCGAGCCTCAAACAAGTGCCCCCATGTGCGGTTCTCGCACCGGGTGGGAAATTTCGGGCTCGCTCCCTAGATTTTGTGGGACCCGTTGTCCCTCCCAAATTGCCACAGACTGCTGGACATTTTGATTGAACCTGTGTGGGATGCAGGGACCTTGATCTTGTCATGATGGGTGTGCTCCCTTCACCCCCCGGATTGGTGAGCTCGCTTCAACTTGTGCACGCATTTTCTGGGGTCCCCCTTGTTGAACATGACATGCCTCTGATGCAAGGAGCTCTCAAGCGGAGTAAGGAGAAAACTGTGAGGGTGTGTGTCAAAACAAAATAGAGGGTCCATGGTGATTGTTTTCTTTGGTTTCCCTGTATATATGTGAAAAGGGTACCAAAATGAATAAACACCCATTCTATCCCAGCAAAGTAGCAACCTTGCAACATTCTGCCGTTTGCACAACAGCCATGCAGTGAAACCCGCATGAGGAATCTGCCAAAGGCACTCTGGCACTATGCTTCCAAAAGGGCTTCCACTCCCCCCAAACCACTACCGACGGACAAGGGGGGGGGGGGGTTGTAAGCGCTGTATTACCAGTAAGTCACTATAGAGGGCATATATATATATATATTTATATATATGCCTGTATACGTATGTGAGTATATCATACACGTCCCATTGCCTGGGGGCTAGACTCTGAGCGAGTTCCTGGCCTGCTCAAAGACCGTGCCGTTGCGCAGCACGATGATGCTGTCCATCCTCATGGGGCTTGAAGCTGGAGGCCCAAGGCGTCTTTGTGTTTCTTGAGGGGCCTTTTTTCAGGTTGGTTCAACGGGAAGCCAGAAGGAAAACCATGGAAACTCAGTTTACATTATCATTATTATCATTCTTATTATAATTATTCTTCCTTTTTTTGAGGGGGGAGTCCCCGATTTTCACACATCAAATAACTAGTGAAGTGAAGCGACCGTTGTGGTATCTCACAGGACATATCTCACAGGACATCCAGCCATTTGATATAGGGAGTCTGGTCCAAGCGAAAGTTTCCTGCATTCTTTCTGGGCTTGTCATCAATGGGGCCTGACGATCCGCCCTCCGTTGCAGAAACATGAGGGGCGGAAAGAAAAAATAATGACATGGGTTCACAGAACCTGTGATTTGACCTGTGAAAGATATATAGGCATCTGATTAGAATATGTATACACATGTCTGTGTGTTTCTTTAGATTTGACCTCTGGTGAGAAATCCCAGACTGGCACCCAACATGATTGACCGTACGACGGCCCCGCGAACAAATGATGCTTAGGGCCACGGGCAAAAGCAGACGGCATGCCTGCGTTGCAGAATGTGAATTCCCACCTTCAAGCAACTACCATGAGTGTGTTTCTAAGGGCTGAACTACGCAACCCTAAGAGGAAACGGTCCCCCTGAGATATACCTATTCATATACTCAGTACCTAGCTATAATATAAATATATATATATATACATAAATATGTAGAGGCCTTACACGACTACACATACTTGTATTGAACATATAATGCTTTGTATCTTGGCTTTCCCAGGGGGTATGTGGTGTTTCGCCCTTCGACGTGTGCCATAAGCTTGGCTGGGCCACAGCAAAGATTTGAGCCCGGCACGGGGACAAGATGGACAAAGTCTGCGTCGCGAGGATGATGGTCTGGTCCTTGTGCTTCTTGACCTCACGCAGTCTGGACGTCCGACAAGGGATGCTTCTGGATGCGATCCACTTGGGCCTGGGGATGTTTCTAAACAAAGGTGAACCCCCTTTTGGTTGGTATTCAAAGGGAAACCAACGGGAAACCTTCATGGGATGTAACAAACCTCAAAAGCTACACCCACGTTTGTCTTTTCCAAGGTTCCCTTTTTGGGGCCGTGCTAAACGGAAGCCACTCATTCCGGTGCTTCCTATTGCAATAACACCCAATCGGCCAGTTGAAACAAGTGCTAACCGGTTGAGCCTTATCCTGCGGAAAAAAAACGTGAACCAGCAGGAACAAAGAAGGTATCCGAAGCAACATAATTTATAAGAACGGCAGATTTTGGCGGCATCCTTTTGGTTTCCTTGTAAACCAAGCTGGTTCCCTCCAAAAAAAGTCCATACCGCAAATTTTGGGCTCTTCGGTTGTGGCTCGCCCGGCAGCGGTCGAGCCAAAACCCGAGCAAATGGGGTGGACACCAGAGATGTTTGGAGCAATCCAATTTTCTCAGCCGCTCCTTTAGTGTGCCGGCCCAACAGTTGAAACCTTGTTTCTGGGGCACTCTCAACACAGTGTTTCTTGAGTCGAGGCTCCTTTTCATCTTGGTTTGCAGGGCCATTCGACCGGAAAACCGAGATAGGGTCCAAATTCCGAGGATTTTTCGATCTCAGGCCGGCGCCAGGTTCTGCAGGGCTCGCTTGGCCTTGTCCAAGTCCATCCGGGCGAAAGGTTCGTCCAGCAGAAGGATCTGAGCCTCGAGCCGAATGCCAGCGGTTTCCTCTGGTGACTTGGTTGGGTGGCTTGGGGTGGTTCGATGGTTTGGAGGTACCCTCTACCAAGGGTTCAAGTCCCGACATGTGGTTTCCCCATGGGGAACCAATTAGGGTCGTTCTCTAGGGGCTCTGGATGAACAAACTTGAGGTAGCAAAGGATGGCTGAAAGGCATCAGATCAGTTCACTTTGGAGAAACACGAGCCCTGGGCGACTGAGTTGGTGCATCACAAGCGAGCCCGCGCTAGCGTTTGCAACGAAAGGCCGACTGGGCCTCAAACGGGCGCAGCATCAAAGACAAGAAAAAACTTAAAGGATGGTGAAGGCAACCAGAAAAGCATAAGACTGGCTGGGGTTGGGTTGCCAGCCCGAAAGGGCAGTTGATTCTAACAGCTGGTGGCTTGGCAAATTCGCCAAGGGCGCGCTTGGCTGTTTTCGAGCGACTCGAGCGGCCTGGCAAGCTGTTGGAAATACTGATGCGATGACTCGAACGCGTTGAACCCTTGAACCCTGGCCTTGCGTTGTGGCCACGCGGGCGGGGGGTGGGGGGTGGGGGGGTGGGTGGTGGGTGGGGGGTGGGGGAAGGCTTACTTTGGGTGACCAATTCGTTGAATATGGGTTTGTTTTGGATGGTATCGGGCTTGGTTAGGGTTCCTGATTGCCGGAATGCGCGGCCAGTTTTGCCTGCAAAGTTGACTCAGGCGACCATGCCTAACCGCAAGCAATTCTATCAATATCCGCCTAAAGAGATCCCTGCACGATCCAGGAGTGGCAGGAATCCTTCTTATCCAAATTCATCAAGGATAATTACCCACCGTCTTCCCACTCACCGGCCGTTGACCACCCCACCGTCACCCAGGGCTTGCCGCGCCCTCCCGCACCGGTCGAATCCACTCGGCGAATCCCCTGTTATCCGGAGCGCACCTCCGTGTACAAAGCTCTGGCCAGCTGCAGCGCAGCTTGGCCCCCATCTGCGCTGGGAAGTCAGGACGCTCCCAAAAGATGGGGCCCTTACCCGAAATGGATACATTGCGCGACGCTCAACCCTAGGCTGCACCTCCCTCTCTCTCTCTCTCTCTCTCTCTCTGGTAAAGATTTCCGCTACCCCCAAACCACTACTTTGTCCCAGGACGACTTTAATGGGATGGACAGCCACTAGCGACTATATAAAGGGTATATGTCATTCGCCGCATACAGTACCCCATGACTCCGGGCCAGGTACACTTCTACAGAAATGCCCAACCACTATGTACATGAGACACGCTGAGTATTCATTGTGGCACCTCAGTGGACCGTTGGTGGCACAGCGTTGGATTGGGTTTGGCGCGGCTCATTTCCTGCTTGTAATTTAGTGTGCCTTTGTGTGTGTATACCCAGTGTTTTTCCTTTCCAGTAGCACGTGACGGCATGACCGCATATGTAGATATCTTGTATATATATGTATATGTATATGTATACATTATATATATATATATATCATTACTCACCTGGCTCAAAAGAACGATGGAGACCCGAAAGGTCCTCTTTCAAGGGACACGCGGCAACGTGTCAGCGTTGTTCACCCTGAAAATCCCTGTTGAAACGGACACACACACGGAGGCTGTGAAGTTGACCCAACTCTGGTTCAATGGCTCAAAGCATGGACCAACTACTGGAAACCAAGTGCATCGGGGGGCTGAAACCGGGATGGTTTGAAGGGTCCTTGAGATTCAGGGATGCAAGTAATAAGCAACCAGGGAAGAAGCAAAGAGCCCGAACCATCATGGCGTGTGGTTCCTTCACTTTGAATGTTTAGGGATTGCTAACAAATGCACAATCAAAGAAAGAAAGAAAGAAAGAAAGAAAGAAAGAAAGAAAGAAAGAAAGAAAGAAAGAAAGAAAGAAAGAAAGAAAGAACAAACAAGCAACCAAACAATCAAACTAAGAAACAAGGAACAACACACACACAAATAGCCAACCAAACAACCAACCAACCGACCAACCAACCAGACAGACAGACAGACTGACAGACAGACAGACAGACTGACAGACATACAGATAGACAGACAGACATACAGATAGACAGACAGACAGACAGGCAGACAGGCAAACAAACAAGCAGGCAAGCAGGCAAGCAGGCAGGCAGGCAAAGGCAAGCAGGCAGCCAAAAAACACAAACAAACAACAAACAAACAGCGAACAAAAAACAAACAAACAAGAAAGAAACAACAAAGAAAGAACAAACACACACACACAGACACACACAGACACACACAGACACACACAGACACACACAGACACACACAGACACACACAGACACACACAGACACACACAGACACACACAGACACACACAGACACACACAGAGACACACACAGACACACACACACACACAGAGACACACACAGAGACACACACACACAGACACACACACAGACACACACAGACACACACACAGACACACACACACACAGACACACACACAGACACACACTGGTGATGGGAAATATCCAAGACCGAAGAAGGTGGAAAAGTCGAAAGCCTTAAGCCAATGCCTGTAGCAGGTGCCTCCGCCCCCCTCTGTCCCAGCCTGGCGTCAAAGAAGGTGTCAAAGAAGGTGTCAAAGAAGGTGTCAAAGAAGGTAAGCTTCAAGCTGATTTTGCTGAAATCGAGCATTGAAATGGAAAATGAAATGGCAAATGACACAGCAGTCACCTCTGGCTTTGAGTGATTAACGGCGTGAAGCAACAATTGCAACACCCACATTTGGTAGCAGGTACGTCCGGATGATCAGTCCGGATATCCTCCCAACTCATGAGCAGCTTCGTTGGCAGTGGGCTCATGAGCGGGCCACTGCCCCCTGCTTCTAACAAACAGTCCGCGATTACGAGCAACGCTCTCCCTCGAATGGTGTGGGCTGTCACACACACAGAAGCCCCAAAGGGGCGGTCAGGTTTAAGAAGCTTGGTTTCGGACGGGCTTTTTCCACAGGTCCAAACGGTGTCCTTTGCAAACATAGCACCGACGTGCCTAAACAAGTGGGGTTAGCGGTGTCCAAAGTATTTCAATAGCGGGGAAGCCTCTCCAAGAACACCGAGTTCAGGACAATGAAAAAGAAAGAAAACCGGTTTCAAACACAGCATTTCGTCCGACATGTGCTAACGGTCAGTTCAGACGAACCCAGAGCTCTACCAAGGGATCCATGCATCCGTGCAAGTTGCCAAGACCATAAAACGTCACCCAAAACTCGTCTTTTGGGGGCCGAATCTGGTAAAGGACAAAGGTCAGGCTCTGCAAGCTTCTTTGGCAAGTCGACAAATGTCAGGCTCTGCAAGCTGTCGGACAACAGCAGTCCCCCCCCCCCCAAAAAAAAAAAACAAAAAAAAACGGTCAAACCTTGGAGCGGAAACCTGGAGCCTGAACGAAAGGTGAAATAACCAGCGTGCGGCGGGCAGCATGATTTCTTTCATCGGTGTTTGTTTCGTCGAAGGGTTGCCCTTCAGGGTGAAACAGTTGAGGAGACTACGGGGGCTACAAAAATATTGCGGGCTTCAGAAGTCCACAAGTGGAAACGTTGCAACATGTCACGGGCAATTGGTAAGAGAGACGCGAAAGGAATTCCTTGAGTAGCATACATCCAGACCAAATCCTGAGCTTGGTGAAGGATTAATCGACGGGGCCGTACATACCTGCAAACCAAAAATTAGCGGGCACGTAAGCCCGACAGTATGGCCGTTTGTGCCCCGGCCGAGCGAAAACTTCGCAGCGCATGTGGAGTGACTGGCAATCTTAGTGTAATTGATCTTTGAAGGGGGTCGATCCGGAATCCCAGAACAATATCATCCTGAACAACTTCTAGTTCAAGGGGCCGACCGTAAAACCACGACCAGCCAAGAATGTTCAAATCATGACCTTGTAGCGGAGTATTGACCAATAGCAAAATGCGGTTATCCACACATCGAGCAAGGAGGGCATGTTGGATCCAAGTACTTGAGGCCTGTAAGGACTGGACAAATGACCATTCCCGGAAAACTGCAACAACGGAGCACAGAACCGGCGCCCACTGTGAACCCATTGAGGCCCCACACGTTTGCTGGAAAACTGTTCCCCCAACGGTGAAAAGGCTGTACTGAAGTAGCACGCCCACGAGGGGAACAACATCCCGAAGTTGCAAAACTCTGACCGTAGACCCGGGCCGCCGCCATCTGCCCTTGAAGGCTCGTTGAACACGTTCAGCATATATTGCGTGGTAACCGAGAAATCCGAGTCAATAGAAACGTCTTGAAGTTGAACATACCGGTGGATCAAAAACTGCACGGAAGTCAAAATTCGATGGTGTTCAACATTGTTGAAAAACCCTGCTAAATCTTGCTGGTCCAAGACAATTTCCATGTCCACAGCATTTTGGTGAAAGATGCGCCAAATAGACCGAAGAATGAGATCAGTACGTTGGGTTTTGGCCTCATGTGGAAAGACTGTCTCCAAAATTATCAGCAGCAGGATCGAAACTGCCTGTCCAATTCTGGAGCACCACGAGCCGCGGCAGCTTACTATTGGCCTGGCCTTGTTCCATTGTCGTGAGGGTTTCGGTAGTAGATAGGCAAACGGTAAGTTTCCCGAAAAATTCCATCCCCATTTGTACTTCCGAACCAGATCTCTCGTAATCATGGAAGGCAACCGTGAAATAATCGTCATTGGGCTTTGGTGAAGCCGTAGGAAAACATCAGGGTTGAGAAAGGTACGACGCAACAAGAAATGGTAGTGGCCCGGACAGGTCACGCACATTGCGTGAGGATGGTGGTCGGCTGGGCCCCGGACCCAACCATTTGTACGAGCGGCAAGCCGGGTGACACCCGAATATGTCCATGAATCAGTTGCCCGTTTAGAGAAAGACTGACGGTGTTCGTCCCAACTTGTTGATAGAAATTGGTTCCAGTAATGAATGAGTCTATTAGGTAAACGCCAATGCGCAAGCCATTCTGTGAATTGGGTGGCATTGTGCACAAAGAACCTCTGCCAGCTTGGCCAAATCGTGTCATTCATATTGGCCCCAGAAAGGGGTTCATCCGGCCACAAATCACTACCAAAGGCGCAAACGTGTCCAGTAATCTGGGAAAAGCTCTCCCCAGTGACCTTGCCCCGAAGTGGGCCACAGATGCAAGTCGGGGCAACGTCCGGCTGCCAGTCCCGCAAAAATTCTTTGAAGTTGAACAGCAATGCCCCAAGGCTCTGACAGCGAACTTCACATACTGGCCGAGAAGGAAGATGCATTGGTGGGAACAAAGCCCTATGGTGTTGACAAAAGGTTTGAACCCAGTCTTTTGAAGGAAGGTCGGGCAGGGAGTAAACGAAGAATCTTATTGGACACCGGAAGCGCTCCTCCTCTGAAGACAAGAATCAGCCGCAGTTGATTTACAGCTCGGGTGCGCCATGGTTCCCCCATATGTTGCGACATGTTGACCAGAAAATATAGAAAGGGCAGGGGTGCAGCACGACTCCGCAACAAACGGGCAGTGTTGAATTTGGCCACACCCTCACTGCCAAGTTCATGAAGTAACCGTAAAACGTCCTCCTGACTACGTAAATGAAAAAGCCTGCCCTCGCTAAGGCGCTGTCGCCAGAGGCGGGAAAATCTCCGTGTCAGTTGTCTTCCTATCACCCCAGAATGTGTCATATTCAGAGCGTAGTTTGGGACCCGTAAGCCGACTTGACGAAGCAAAGGTGAAATCCAGGGCCAGTTGAGTTTGGGTTGAAACTGAATTTGCAAGTTGAGTTCACATGCCTGAACGTCTCTTTCTCGTAGGGCAACGGGAATGATTATGTATTGATAAAAGGTTCCGGTAGCCTTCCACCACCTGAGTGCTGGCTCGTAAAAAGCTATGCGGTCGTTTTGAAGCTGCCTGTATTTCCTGACTCGGCTCTGTTCTCTCTCATGTAGGGACAGGGTGGAGCTGCCCACGTAAAACGGGTGTCTACCGCAGTGGACACGTACGTACACCACCCCGTGAAAACTGTACTGCGCCCAACTATCTGAGTCAAGGTCCGTAAGTTCATGTTGCAGCAATGAGCGTAAAGAATTAAAACGTTTGGTGCGGGGAGCCCATTTGAGAACCCAGTGTTTCATCAAAGTACCTCGTAACCACTGGAAACGGTGTACCAGAGTCATTGGCAGGACCCTCAGAATTTGGGAATAAATTGCACCAGACAAAAGGAGAAAATGCCACACTACGTTCTGCACTTGAGAACGGCGGGATGTTGGGTCTCTCAAAAGTCACTGACGAATGAGGTTCACGGCTGCAAGAAGGCGCAACATGGCCGCGTGGTTCATCTTGGAAGCCGTAGACACATCTAGCCCCCATCCAATGAGCATACGGTCAACCTCTGGGGCGTCAATGCCCACTTCCTGGATCTCCTTTTCGAGCACTTGGATATGTTGTTCAACGCGGTTTTGCTGTTCTTTCGTGAGGTGTTTCTTGAGCCAAGTTCCCAAAGCACTGGACGTATGGGACGAAGGGCGGTTCTGTTCAAGGATGGGCTTGGAGGAACCGACCGAAAAGCGAGCCAAAGGTCTTTGGGAGGCGGAAGCGGAGGGCTCAGCGTCCATTGGAACAGGGGGAGCCACGGGGGTTGGAACGAGGGCAGGGTTGGCTTGAGAAGTTGGCAAGCCTGCCGTTCCGGGAACCTCGGCTTGTCCTGACTGATGTCCCCGTAGCTGAAGGTTTTCGGCTCTCAGCTTTTCAATTTCCGCAAGAAGGGCCGTTGCCGTGTCTGCAGGCATGAGGGTTTCCATGAACTTGACGATCTTGGGGACACATGACTTGATGGCATTGAGACGAAGGTTCCAATCATCACTCGTGTCCCCAGCTTCATGAGAAAGCATCTTTGACAATTCAACGGATTCGCTGTCCCGCATACACTTGACCAAGTGGGATGCGAAGGCGGCTTCAACCCTGTTCCGGAAGGCTTCGATGGACAATGAGTTGGCATTCCTGCGGTGTTGTTGGCACGGGAATATGCTGTCGAGGCCACCAAACGAGGGAGGGCAAGGCCATGTTGGAGCTGTGTGTCAATGTGGGCATTATCTGTGCGCCACTCTTTGGGGACAGGAAAGAGTTTTTCCCAGGGCACAGAAGACGCCGTGGACGAAGGCCGGCGCCAAACCGCAGGCTGTCTGGGGCTGCGAGACCGCTGACCTGGACTGAGGCCCCTGCGCTCTCTCCCGCGAGAACCGCCCCGGTCATCCCGGTGTGAGCCGTCACCCTGGTGACTCTCCCGGCGCGCACGGGTGGAAGCCCGATGTCGGGAGCGGGACCGAGAATCCCGCATCGACCGCCCCATGTGCGCTTAGAGAACAGGACTGACTGAGTTTCCGTCAGCTAGCAATCTGAGAGCCTCGATAAACAGGAACCAAAGAAGTCACAAGCTCAGGCAACAAGTCGAGTCAAGGTAAGACAGCCAGGGGTCCAAAGCGGAACCACACAAGACAGGCCCTGTTGTGGTGCAGAGGCAAGCGCATCTTTATTCTTCAGATTACTGACCCAGGCTCTGCCAACTCTGGACTCAACCGGTCTGAAAAGGGGTGTCTCGAACCGGAAGCAACGACGAAAAGAAACGAAACAATTGAGCGAGGTCCAGTCTTCGGGACGGCTGCAGAGCATGTTTATCTGGGGAAAAACACTGCCAAGCCTAATGGTTGGGCCACGTGGGAACGGATGAGCCATCGCTTGTCCCCCGTTCCATGAACGCAATCGTAAAAGAAATTGGCAGCGTGCTCGGAGAGCACGCCTCCCGACCTTGGACTCAAGTGGCCCTGGCGTATGTACGCTCGTCCGAAGACAGCTACAGGGCGTGCCTGATTTACACCGCCGAAACCCCATGCCTTGCGCATGCCTTGCAGCATTGCAAGTTTGAAAGAGTCCTCACTCAAGTCACTGGCTGGGTGGGCTCGACTATAAAATCCATAGGTCGGGAGCCATGAGTCATCAGCCCATGATGATGGTCGACAAAGACCCTCTTTCAGGATGTTTGCAGCTGAAGGACCTGTTGTGTTGTGGAAAAACGCCACGTGTTGGAGCGGCTGGCTTGGGTACCGTGATCGCGCGTGTGCTGGGTGCATGTAAACCAGAAAGGCCTTAGGCTGCGAGTTGACCTCGACCACCTCAACCCCCTGAACTCGGTCAACCAGTTCCTCTGCCCACGCCAATGTTGTAGGCAGCTGTCTGAGAACCGCTTGGATTCCTGGGGACGAATAATCATAACCTGGGTAGTTCTGGTGAAACAAGGTTATGAGCCAGTCCATGATATGCGGAATGGTGGCGTTCTGCACTTCGATGGGTTGAAATCCTCTGTGCACCTGAAAGTACTGGTCGGGGGGTGGCCTTTCCATCAGATCCGAAGTAGGCCGATCCCACTTCAACTGGGCAACGAATCCGGAAAGGGTCACTGACAAGGAGGTCTCGAAAACATAGCAGCACGTCGTAAACCGCCCACCAGGGTACCTCTGCAGACTGCCTAGTCATGGACATATGAAAGGCACTGAAGGAAAAAGGCACGTAACACCCGCGTCGGGCTTGAGACTCGGCTTCTACAGGTCCTAGAGGCGATTCCATTGCTTCATTGCAATGAACTGCTCGAACCCATACCCAGAAAGCCTCCCCATCTTTGGGCTTGAAGTGCCAAGCATCTGCAGGGACGTTACTGGGTCGAAGTGGTTGCCCTGAGCTAACAGAAGCTGTTGCGCCATCTGTGGTGGTTGCTAGACGGTGGTCTGGTTGGCTTCCGGTGGTTAAAGAAGGGGTAGTTTGAGGTCCTCCCCCGGATGTTGCACCGAAAATTGCCCGAAGATTCGCTTGTGCCAGAGCGGACCCAAAAGTTGCAGCTGCCACCGCATCCTGGATCATGACCCGCAGCATAGCGGGGTCTTCCGCTCTAAGGTCACAAGAAATGCCAGAACCAAGGTGCAGCGTAGCTCCAGCGGGTCGGCTAGCTTGCGGCGCAGGCCCCACAGTCGAGCAAAACACAGACCCGTCTGCCATCAGCACTCCAGGATTGCCGGGTGGGGGTGGGGCCCCGGACTTACATCTGGCTACCACCAAGGGGTCAGAGTTCATGGCCCCGGACTACAAGGCTCGAGGAGCAAATTGCTAAGAAAGGCGAAATACATTCAACGCAGTGTCAATTCCGGGGTGGCCATGGGCTTAGAAGCAAAGAACGCCGACAGCAAAACCACAGTCAACCCCATGGCTTCAGCATGGCTAAGTGGAAAGCTAAGGCAAGCACTATCAGTGATTCCCAGTATGACTCCAAAACAAACTCTGCTCAGAAAGAGCTTCATCCGCGGTATACCCCGCACCTTCTGGGCTTTTGCCCACCTTGTGGGCGTACGCCCAAGTTCGTGTCTGTGCATTCTGGGGCCACCTCGCCCCGTCATCACGTTCGGTCTCCCACTGGGGGTTGTCAGCGTTTCTTTGCCCCTGTGGGACCTGTCTGCGGTTCCAGGGCCGTGCCCAGTCTCTCTACACCGGCCCCCGCGCGCCAATGAGGCCGGCGGACATCGGTATGCCACCCAGATGGGGCATACCGAGGGCTAAAGCCCACACACTGGTGATGGGAAATATCCAAGACCGAAGAAGGTGGAAAAGTCGAAAGCCTTAAGCCAATGCCTGTAGCAGGTGCCTCCGCCCCCCTCTGTCCCAGCCTGGCGTCAAAGAAGGTGTCAAAGAAGGTGTCAAAGAAGGTGTCAAAGAAGGTGTCAAAGAAGGTAAGCTTCAAGCTGATTTTGCTGAAATCGAGCATTGAAATGGAAAATAAAATGGCAAATGACACAGCAGTCACCTCTGGCTTTGAGTGATTAACGGCGTGAAGCAACAATTGCAACACCCACATTTGGTAGCAGGTACGTCCGGATGATCAGTCCGGATATCCTCCCAACTCATGAGCAGCTTCGTTGGCAGTGGGCTCATGAGCGGGCCACTGCCCCCTGCTTCTAACAAACAGTCCGCGATTACGAGCAACGCTCTCCCTCGAATGGTGTGGGCTGTCACACACACACACAGACACACACACACAGACACACACACAGACACACACACACACACAGACACACACACAGACACACATACACACAGACACACACACAGACACAAACACAGACACACACACAGACACACACACACAGACACACACACACACAGACACACACAGACACACACAGACACACACACACACAGACACACACACACACAGACACACACACACACAGACACACACACACACACACACACACACACACACACACACACACACACACACACACACACACACACACACACACACACACACACACACACACACACACACACACACACACACACACACACACACACACACACACACACACACACACCCACACCCACACCCACACACACACACACACACGACACACGACACACGACACACGACACACGACACACACACACACACAACAAAAAAACAACAAACAGACAACCCGAGACCCAAACCAATGGACAACACAAAGACATAAACGGCAGCTCTCGCCTGGCAGCTCTCGCATTTCGCTGGCATCCCCGCCGGGCAGTCGCATCAGGTCCTCTGGGGTGTGACTTTTCATTGGGGGCCCTTTGGTGGGTGTAGGTTCGGATTCATGTGCACCATCCACTTTTGAGGAGGTTACCCTGAAAAAAATCAGGGATTCCACCAACCACTTTTGAGGAGGTTTTCTGATAAACAAAAAAACAAAAACACAATTCCAGTTGGGTTTTCCGACTTGGGTGTTTAGTCTTCTTGGTCGAATGCGAAACTAAGGGGAACATGCTCTTCCTCTTTGTTGCACCATGTTCGGTAAAGCCGACCGACATGGGAAAACAGCAACTGCCCGTTGGCACCAGGTGTGATCATTGAGTAATCAAGTCACAGTCTTAAACACAGGATTGCACGATGAACGCATAGAACCCAGCGGGTTCCAAACCTTGGCTGGTGGCCATGCCATCGCTTCAGCTTGAAGGGCGGAGAAAGACCAGTCAGTTGAATCCATGCGGCCTCTGCATCAAGGGCAAGGGTCCCGGATTCCCGAGTTCCATTTCTCAAATTCATTTGTCATGGCTGCCATGACCTTCCCCAGACGACTCGGCGACTCGCATCCGCTCCTCCGATAAAGTGGAGCTCATCAAAGCCTGCTCGTACCTCGAGGAATTCTGCTTTCGTGGGGCGCGACAAGAAACATCACCTTGCGGCCACTACAAAACGGGTGATCAAGTGATTGCCACTCAAAGCAGACCAAGAAAACTGGCTATAACAGCATCTGAGTATCCGTAGTGGCCCCCAAGAAACTTCCAACTGGTATCGGCTTTCCAATTGATCCCGCGCCTGTGGGCTAAATGGCAGGGTCGAATTGGACATGGACCTTAATCAAGAGTAGGTTTCTGAAAAACTTCCGCGCAAGCACCGTCCAAAAGCTAGCCCCATTGTCGGCGGCCTGGGGGGGAGCAGCTCCAAATGTGGTTCGTCAAATATGGGGATCTGAATTGGAGGTCTTCCTTTTGATGTCCCTTTAACAATCTCAACAACTCCGTTAGCTTTCCTTTTGGGTTTTCCAGTGTTCCCCTTCGGTTTCCCTGAATGACCTGAAAGAGATTTTTCCTCTGTTCCCTTTCGGTTTCCCATAAAGAGATAACTGAAACAAAAGAGTTCCTCTCTTCCCACAAAGAGTTTCCTCTGTTTCCTAAGCCCAAAAACCTTCGACCCAACTGCGCCCCCGCCGCTCTCGAGAACGGCTCTGCCTGCGGGAGTCCCAGGAGTGGCCGCAGAGCACGTTGTCGCGGACGGAGGCGGACAGCAGCTGGGGGGTCTGCGGCACGTAGGCCAGCCTGAGAGCTGCAGGGCAATTTCTTAATTCCTTGAGTTGGACAAATCTCGTGGTTGGACAAAGAGATTCTTTCAAAAACGACCAGGAGAAAAACAAAAAGAGAGAGAGAGAGAGAGAGACTTGGTTGACTTTGGAAGGGGAGCCAAACAATTCTCAGTGGTTGGATTTCAAGCACTACACCACAATAAACAAAAAATCAACATGCTTCCCAACAACAACCATGAGATCAGGGCGTTTGTTTTCATTCCTCAAGTTGGACAAATCTCGTGGTTGGACAAAATGGGTCACAACCAGACTGAAAGGGAAACTCAAGGGGGTTGGTTCAAGCAGGTGCTTTGTCAGGTTTAAGGGGGTTGACCACATGCTCAAAGGGCCCGGAAATAAAGAGAGCGAGTCGGCCCCGAAAGATGTTGCGAGCGACGAGCAAAATACATCCATGTAGGGTTGCAAAAGGCAACCAGCGCAAACACTTTCAGTCGGCCCATGTAGTGAAAATTGGGGCATAAAGGAAATCCCCAAACAAGAAATGTGACTGCTACTGTAAGGCTGCAATTGAGGGTCAACACTGCGTCGATATTCAATTTTGGCTTGACTGACTTTCTTCGCTACTTAAAAGCATGCTTGAGGCCCCGCACGCAGCTTTTGGTGCCTGTGTGGTTGCAGTTCTGTGGAGTCAAGCATTTTTTGGGTAGGGAGTGATTGAAGTAAAGCAACTTGTGGCCTACAGGTCAGGTGTTTTGGGCACTGCCATCCCCTTACCTTTCTCAATAAGGTAAATCGCACAAACAAAAACCAACTAATTGCATCATGGTGTGCTCGTTTCACCCTTTTACCCCTCCCCCCTACTCATGGCAGCGTATTTTGCTGACAAAGTTGAACGGCCGGTCTCGCGTTGGCGACAATCGCCTCGCCTGCCCGAGAGCTCCACGCCGCCCTCCATGTCCTCCCCCCAGTGCTCCATGCAGCAACCTGGCCACAGAAGTGGCGCCACAAAAGAACCGATGCCCAGCGAATTTCCATGGGGAAAAAACGGGCATCCCTTGTGGTTGGTTGACTTTAAAAGGGGAACTCTTCTCAAAAAAAGGAGAAAAAAGGGCACCACTGGGCAACTGTGACAAGACCAATGTTCAGATTCCGTGTCCAATGCACTCTAGCTCAAACGAATATCAAAGCAACTTTGATATGGGGGGTGGTTTGCAAATGAAGACCTCACCCCGAGAAATATGTTGAGAAACTGTCTGTTGGGTTCCCGATAAAACCAACTTACACTTCCCCAACGAAAACACAACCACGCAAGCATATGAGCCGAATCCGGGAGCAACCTGGAAACATTCTCCATACTCATCGTCAGCAGCGTCCGCCAGTGAATGAGGATAACTTGACTGCCGGTCACCCTCCAAAGGACAACCCGACTTGTCCGAATAACTGCCTGAACTAAGCCAACCGCGCTTGAGATGGCTCCGGATAGAGACAATCGGGCCAAGCAGCCCGAAAAATTGCCTCGTGATTTGTGTAGGAAGTATTTAAGCTAGGTCCTCCAGTAGAGAGCTTAGAATAAGGGTACTCTTTTTTCTGTAGTCTATTTGAGTAGGGGAACCCTCCCCCAAAAAAAGGAAAAGGGCACTACTGGGGGACCTAGAAAACTAAAACCCAAGGGGATGGCTGGGAAAACAACAAAGGGAACATCCCAGGCTGAAACTTATACAAGAACGCGTGGGCCTCTGGGAAGGTTGTGAGTCCCTTCCTGACCCAGCCTCTTATGGGAAGTTTGTTTGTCGAAGGTTGTGTTTCTATCACCTGTCAGATGCGCAGTTGCGCAATCCACCCCGAATCCGTGGGGATCATGAAAGTAAACGGAATACACGATACCTTGAAAACGAAAAAAATAAGGCAAGCAGAGCTTGATGAACAGGATGTGAATGTCGGTTCTCAGCGAGCGATTTGTTTTGTTTGCAATCTGCGTTCATCTTTATTCTCCCTGGGGAGTCCATCAGAATTCCCGCATGCAAGTGATAGGTAGGTCATTGTTGGGTAGGTGCAGCTCTTCTTTTTGGTTTAGTGAGGTGCCTGCCGGTGGTCGAAGCAACGCGCAAATGGAATGAGCCCGCTGCGTGTGGAATAAAGTCAGAACTGGAACCCTTTTAATTAGACCTGCATGCCTGCTGTTTAGCTGTCCCAAATCAAAGCCAGCTTGTGATCACACTTTGGCCTGTGCAAAAGGCTTTGGTTGAAACATGGATTCAATTCGGTTTCCTTTCAGAAGTTGCTTTGCCACAGTGTGTGTGTGTGTGTTGGTATGTGCTGGCTTGCCAATTTGACAAATCACCCCGGCAAACGTATCCAGAAAGAACCACACAAGGCCCTTGACAGGAAGAAACTTTACATCCCATGGGGTCCAGCATTCTCAGGCAGTCAAAATGGGACCGGGACCCCACGGATTTCGGAGGTCTTTTTCCCTTTCAGCCAACCTATTGACTCAAAGCGAGCCTCCGACCAGGCCAGCGAGGAGAGTTGACCTCAGGCTGATTGATATTCCGGCAAGGTCGACAAAGGAATATCGGTCTGTCTTTTGTTTGGGGGTACGTAACCCCTTGTTTTAGTGTGGTCAAAAGTGAAACTAACACACATATATATATATATAGTTTTTTTCACGTCGAGCCCGCTTTTTTTAGGGGGGGGGGTCCGATTCCTAAAGAAAACGCCCATATGGCTATGGGGTACTATACCCAAAACACGGTGAGATTGCAAGGGGTCCACCGAGAGTACATCAGCGATAGTGACCCTATATTCGAAGCGGATGTCAGTGAGAAACTCCTGCTTGACTGTGATGAGGTCCTCCGTCATGAGCGAAAAGCGCCCTTGGCACTATGTCCGCGAGAAGCTCACCGCGACAAGTGAAGGTGCTGACGACAAAGCACGTACTGCCAGAAACATCATTGCACGTGAGACCCTTCTCAGGCTTCAAGCACAAAGGAGCGGCAACATCGATAGTCGCTAGCAGCTTGGTTTGCAAAAGGCGACACAGGTTTCCAAACGTTCGACCAGCGGCCAAGCCCCTCTGAGCCAACCGCCGGTCGCCCGGACAGCTGGAAGCTTCCTGGCGCCGCTGCTGCCTGCTGCCTCCGAATTTTGCTGGCGTCAAGACCTCTCACCGGCAAGCGAGCGCAGTGCTTCTGCTTGCGCTTTTCATGTTGCACGGTCTGCGCGGCAATCGCTTTGGCCATGGCCTGGATGTGGGCAGTCGCTTTGGGGCCATGGCTTCCCCAACTGGGCCAACATACCGACTGCCACCCACGGAGGACCTGGAGCCAAGTGAGCACAGCAAACTTTCAGTTGCCGGCAGCAAAGTCGCTCGAGCACAAGGCCTCTGAGTGCACCTCGTCAAAGCTCCACTTGGACCAAACTCACCTTACAACCAAGGACGCGCTTCCCTTTCATGGCGAGAAGATACCCTTACGCGTGCGAAAGCTCCTAAACAGGATGGACACTTCAAACAGGACGATTCCTAGTCCCCCGCCACACGCCTGCGCATTTTTCTAGCACGAATCTATTCTGTCTATATCTCATCTTTGCGCAAGCTACTTTCGATTAGTATCCGTAACACGGAAGTTCCTTCTAAACTTCTTTTGATTACTGTGGCTGCACATCAGCCAGAAAGTGCCCACAACAAATGGCCGCTGCCAACGTTTTGCGGAACTGTTAACGCGTGCGGGGATCGTCAGCACATGCCAAAATACAACGCTGCCCGAACGCCCCCCACTGATTCCTTGAAGGTACCTTTCTGTATGAACATCTTCAAGCTGCCTTTCTGCGTCGGCGGCCTGAGCCGGAGGCGTTAAAGTTACAAAGGGGGTTTTCCCGCGGCGCAGCCGCTGGGCACCACAAGCCGCAAACAACCCTCTCAAACGGCCCCTCTCCACAATCTATTTTCCATCAGCGCCACCGAGGGCGTCGATCCGGCCGGCCGCCTCGTGGCCTGCGCAGGCCTAGTTCGCGCTCCAGCGCGCGCTTGCGCACAGTCTCGAAAGTGTAGACTTAGCACGGCTGCGTTCAAGCGACCACTTACAATACCTGGTGGCAAGCAGCCAGCGCAGGCTCGGGCAAGGGACCACCTACAGCGCCTGGTGGCAAGCCATGGGACCGCTGGACTTCCGACACGCAAACTCAGCAATGCTGCAGTGCTCACGCTTGACTTCAGCCTCCCGGCGAGACAGTCGCCTAGAGCCGAAGAGATCCGCGCGCCCAAACAAATGAGCGAGGGCGGCAGGCTGCATGCCGCCCCAGACGTACTGCCGTGCTTCGCAGATCAAATGCCCAGTCTGAAACACAGTAGCGCTGCCGCCAAACGCAGCGCGAAACTCGCCGCTTTGGAATCTTTCAAGGCACGCGTGCTATGTGTGTCCAGCGATCGATACGCGCTTCACCTCGGAGATTCTGTTCCTCGCCTGGCAGTGCCGCAGAGAGACTTGGTGTGCCGCATCTATGGGTACACCGCCAGCACGCAGGGCCGAGGTGCTCAGCATGCTCGCTGGTGCGCAGAGTACCGCGGTGGTGCTGTGTCCAGGCTGGCAGCAGCCACTACCTACAGGAACAAGCTGACTGACAAGAAGCTTCAGAGCGTCATGACGTGTGGTAGTTTTAGTCGCTTGCAAGTACTGAGCGACGTAGCAGAAGCATTTGGCGTCGGCATGGTGCAGCTGCCTCGCAGCTTCGGGCCAGGTGTGCGCTTCGACGCTGCTCCGCTGAAGTTGAAAGAGATAGCAGAGGTTCGAGATCGTCTCAACCTGCCGCGAAAGCGCCGACACCCTTTCCTTTCGCGCGCTGCTTCAGCAAACCAAACATCTTATCCTGGCTCTTCCGCAAGTTGGCCCACTTCTTCCGGCGACATTTCTGCAATTTGCTGGCTACGCGCTGCAGCACCACCAGGTCAGCGCCACGGCAGGAGGCCATCAGGGACCTTGTCAAGGTCGTGGAGGAGCGCCGCCCGTGATGCTGTGGACATACGACCTCAGCAGCCTTAGGTAAGTGGGCAGCAGCCTGCGGCGGAGCCCAGCCATCGCCAAGACCACGAACTAAGGCAGGATCAGACAAGGGACCTGGTGGCAAGCAGCCAACGCAGGATCAGACAAGCGTGGCAAGCAGCCAACGCAGTTGAGCCAGATGTCACCGGCAAACTGGTTACAAAGCTGCTCAGTTCATTACACGACATAGCCCCCTCCACACATTACTTCCCGGGTGGATTGGCCAGACAAAGAATCCGAAACTCCACTCAAATGGCCCAAGCCCCAAAAGTGGCCAAAGTCCGACGGAACTCCAGGGCTAAGTAGACGCCAGGGGGGTCGGTCCGGCGGACCCAAACTGGGGCATCCTCAGATCCCCCGCCAAAAGTTCGGAAACCCAACCACTTTTCACCAACTACAAAAGTCTAAACAGCTGAGTTGAGCCGGCTGAATTGCTGGGCACCAGCCACCAAGCTGACACAATACTCCCCTCAAAGTGACCATGAGTAACTTTTCCTTGACCGCCTTGGCGCCGTTGAGGTTGATCTCCTCCGGCGCCTCACGCTGGGCAAGCGCCTCCGCCGCCTCACTGCCGCGTTCGCAAGCGGCTCCTGGCTCCTGGAAGACCGTGACGTGGACCGCGAGCTGGACCTAAACCTGCTCCTCCTCTGTCGCGCCGCGAGGATTTTCTCGAGCTGCCGAAGTGGATCGTGATTCGAGGCATGGCTTTCGCTACAGCCCCGAACCAGCACGAAAGGCGGACTGCCTGTGTGCATGCAGCTGTTTGCTTGCGCTTGTGCTTGTGCCTTGTGTGTTGTTGCTCAGTAATTAGCCGGCTGCTCGCCGTTGAGCATCCAATACGCGGCGCACTTGTCGCATGGAACTCAGGCTCACCCCTAAACACAAGCAAACCAAGTAGCTCCAACGGACATGTCTCCTGTGCCCATGGAAGATGCTGCCTCTATGCGTTCATCCATATAGAGCTCCAAATGCTGCACAAATTCCAATCCAAAATGATGTTGAAACCTCAGGAGGCAGCCCTTGGAGTCAAGTGAATTGCGCTGTGGCTGCGTATTTTTGCAAGGGCAGGCAGCCTTTCCCTGCTCTCATCCATCAGATATAGCTGCAGGCCTATATCCAGCACAAGGGTCAAGGGCTGGCTAGCATCCCTTCTCCACATTTATACGTAGTGTGAGAAAACCTCTTTGTCGGAAAAGGATATTGCCGAAGCCTTGCTTCCGCAAGCTGAATGCCAGAAACTCAGGTGACGGTTGCCCGTGGAAGAAGCCTGCCAGAGCCCATCGTTATTCTTGTTTCGGTGCGGGGTTGTTAGTGGCAAGTGAGCTAAGGCACGCCCAGC